AGGGGCCCCTTTGGTTGCTAAAAATATCAGCAGCTCTAACAGCTTCTGTGTTAGATTTAGTGAAATATGGGAGAAGGGAGTAGTTTAATTGGCCAGCCTAAAAAGCAATAAGTTACAATCGCAGTTTACTAATTTGGATTTGTAAATTCATAGATTAAACTCACAGCATCAGATTGTTGCTATGGTAAGGTAACAGTCTAACTATGAATATTGTTCTTTGAAGTTTTACAAAGTAAACTTCCCAGCTTCTTAAAATCTTGTATTTAAATGTTAAACAATTTAAAATAATTTAATTTATGTATGCCTAAACAATTGAATCAATTTTAACAGCATTGATCATCTCAATAAACAAGTGTTACATTCATGTATCTGTGGTCTGTGTTAAAATATTAGCATTTATGGGTCCCTGAATCCCTGGGGGGCCTGATGGAGCTGCTGACTTAATTTTGATTAAATAAAAGTGTAAATAATTGATATTCATTTTAATTGTATATTTTGATTTGTTGTTTTAAAGACTAGTTGTGGGTTTAAGTGGTGTTTCACTGGCGAAGTTTTCCCGTAACATATAATGATATTTTTCAATTTCCTGTCACCTTAACATCTTTTAATACAAAAACACGGTGGACCGCCTCGGCATCCCGACCACCAGGCTGAGCAAGTTTTCTGGGGGAAACCCTGCATTAGCATATTTTCATTCCAACATGTCAGAAGTTAAAAACGCAAAACTTCCTTCAGCACCGAAGATTTTATGAATCAATCAAATTTTATCTGTAGCACATTTCAGCAAAAAGACATTTCAAAGAGCTTTACATCAGAAAAGCACAAAATCATAGAGACACAATGAACAACATCACACATCAGATTATTGATTATTGTTTCATTGATTAGGTTTCTAAAGCAGCTCTAATAGCTGGTTTAGTCTGGATTTAGAGGAGCTCAGGGTTTCAGCTGTTTTTCAGTTTCCTGGAAGTTTGTTCCAGATCTGTGGTGCATAGAAGCTGAATGCTGCTTCTCCATGTTTGGTTCTGGTTCTGATGCAGAGCAGAACCAGAACAAGAACAAAAACCAGAAGCAGAAACAGATCTGCAGGTCGACAGAGCAGCTGCAGATTTTTAACTTATTGTGGAGCAAAAACTGTTCAGTGATTACAATATTATGGTATTGTCTGAGCTACAGNGTAGGAGATTTAGATGGTGTAGAACCGGGTGGTGTAGAACTAGATGTTGTAGAACTAGGTGGTGTAGAACCGGGTGGTGTAAAACCGGGTGGTGTAGAACTAGACGGTGTAGAACCAGGTGGTGTAGAACCAGGTGGTGTAGAACTAGATGGTGTAGAACCGGGTGGTGTAGAACTAGATGGTGTAGAACTAGACGGTGTAGAACTAGATGGTGTAGAACCGGGTGGTGTAGAACTAGATGGTGTAAAACCGGGTGGTGTAGAACTAGATGGTGTAGAACCAGGTGGTGTAGAACCAGGTGGTGTAGAACCAGGTGGTGTAGAACCAGGTGGTGTAGAACCGGGTGGTGTAGAACCAGCTGGTGTCTCTACCCTCCTGGTTCTAGTCAGATCTCCAGCTGCAGCTTCTGGTCTCAGTCTGACCTGCTGCAGGAATCAAACCACTAAATCCTGGATGAGTTTCTCTGGTCGGAGACTTTAGTCCTCTGGGCCTGAATGTCCTGCAGCTGCTGGAAGGTCCACTGAGGAACCGGCTTTATGTGGCTCTGGAGGCTCAGGTCAGAGGTCATCTCTACTCCCAGGTTACTCATATAAACATCAACAGACTAAAATAAGCCTCAGTTTATCATAAGGTAACAATGTAAAAGTTTTAAAGCAGATTCGACATTTTCTAGCCGCTACAAAAATAAACGTCTGAGTCTGACTGGATTCCTGCCGCCGCCACGTTGGATTATCAGTATCAGGGCGGTCCGACCCGACTGGACCCTGATCACTTTGACTGCTGCAGGTCAAAGTTCAGAATCCTCTTTGGGTCCGTGAATTCTGCTAGGTCAGAGCCGCAGCGGGTTCAAACGTTAAACCTGATCAAACCAGACAGAACTCTGCTGGGTGAACTTTGACCTCCCACAGGTTCTGGTTCTGCTTGTTCTTTAGTTAACAGATACTGTATAGTTAATGTCCATTCGGGTCAGAACCAGTAGTTCTTCACGGAACAGGTTCTCCAATCTGAGCTGGACTCTGCACGAGACTCAAAGTGAACCTCATCACTTCCGGTATAAACAAACCTCCGCGTGCTTCTCATAAACAAACATCTGTGGCACCGACGCTCTGCACTTTAGATCTGCGTCTGCGCAGTAAGCTTCCGTCCACGCACATGCACGCGCCTACGTAAACACGCGCGTCTCCCGGAACCTGCAGGTGGACTGAGTCCGGTGAGGTTCTGCTTTTACCTGCTGGGTGCTGAAGTCCAGGCCCAGGTAGAGAGGAGAGTCCGGTTCCGCTGCTGCCATGCTGAGGACAGGCGCATGCGCACTGAGCGCTAGGGGCAGGGCGGAGAGCTTTAAAGAGACAGGCGGAGAGCGAGAGAGAAGGGAGTCTGAGGGGGCGTGGCCAGGTGTTCCTGCAGGGAGCCGGAACCAGGAGGAGGAAGAGGAGGAAGAGGAAGATGGACGTGTCTGCGCTGAGACAGCAGTACAGGATGTGGAAAGACCGGCAGAGGACAGAGCTTCACCTGCTGAGGACAGGTGAGGAGACAGGTAGATTCTGGGTTTGGTTCTTTAACAGCTTCTGCTTAGTGGCGTCTCCAGCTGATGGACATGTGTCCTCTCTGTCCTCTGTGTCTCTTCCACTTTGTCCAACAGCTGATTTATCCAACAGACTCCAGATCCACAGAAACATAAAAACACGATAAATAACAAATCAAACCGTGTCAAAGATCACAGCAGCGTTTCACCTGAGAATGATCAGTCAGCACCCAGTCTGATCTGGGATCTGAACAGGAACAGAAAAGGTTCTACCAGATGTGGTCCTAGCCTAGCAGTCCTAGCTTAGCGGTCCTAGCCTAGCAGTCCTACTTTAGTGGTCCTAGCCTAGCAGTCCTCACTTAGCGGTCCTAGCCTAGCAGTCCTAGCCTAGCGGTCCTAGCCTAGCGGTCCTAGCTTAGCGGTCCTAGCCTAGCGGTCCTACTTTAGTGGTCCTAGCTTAGTAGTCCTAGCCTAGCAGTCCTAGCCTAGCGGTCCTAGCTTAGCGGTCCTAGCCTAGCGGTCCTACTTTAATGGTCCTAGCTTAGCAGTCCTAGCCTAGCAGTCCTAGCTTAGCGGTCCTAGACTAGCATTTCCAGCTTAGCGGTCCTCGCTTAGCGGTCCTAGCCTAGTAGTCCTAGCTTAGCGGTCCTAGCCTAGTAGTCCTAGCCTAGTAGTCCTAGCCTAGCAGTCCTAGCCTAGCAGTCCTAGCCTAGCGGTCCTAGCCTAGCGGTCCTAGCTTAGCGGTCCTAGCCTAGCGGTCCTAGCTTAGCGGTCCTAGCCTAGTAGTCCTAGCCTAGTGGTCCTAGCTTAGCGGTCCTA